TTCAAAAATTATCGCAGCAATCAAATTTTCACGAAAAGACATCAAATTGAAGATCAACAAATGAAAACGCGTGGTTTCCACTAACCACTAACCAGAGTTCTATACTTACAATATTGGAGCTAGCGCTTTTGTTAGCACAAAGCCACATTAACCCCAAACTCCTGGTATCGAACGAAGCAGGAGCTTAAGGCTAGTATGGCTTTGGGCTAATATAAGCGCAAAGCCATACTAGCCTAAGAATTTTGGATGGGTATTGTTGGAGAAAGATTTAGTTCATCTCAAAGGCGAAAAAACCATCGATAAGATAAGATGTTATCGATATCTTCAAACAGATAGTAAAAATTACTCGTTCGAGAATTTTGGCTCGTGGAGACGTCAATGGCACGAGCAGAAGCGGTCGCTGATTGAAAACAATAATTCCGAATCGTGCATCGCTTACAAATCCACTTCCACTCAAATGCCTGAAATGAGCACGAGTTTCATTTTGCGGTCCGGAAAAAATGCTATCTGCAATGAGTTTTTGTCCTACCATATTCCAATTTCCTAAATATCCGCGTAAAACCTTCAGATTTGTTCCAGATTCTTTTTCGAAATTTCGAATTTCTGTTCATCTTTGCCAGCTGGCAATAGATATTCACGATTCACTGTTCAAAATGAGAAAGAGTTTACAAACCGAATCGTTTCGACAATTTTCTTCTGTTGTGCCTCGAATACCTTATTGTTATCCGTGGTAATGTCGACCAAGAACAGAACATCCACTGGCGTTTTCTTGCATTCTCCTGCAACCGTTCATTTCGTTTTTGAAATTCTTCATCCGATAATTTATCATCACTTCAGAGAATTTGCAATTCTCATTTCATGATTCAAAGAACTATAATCTGATCTTAACTAACAAAAAAGAACATAGGCAAACGGGTGAATCTACCTTTCTGGGATGGTTGTGAAACGGCCGACGCCACAATGACCGCAATGCATGCCTGGAAATACAAAAATCTTTCACAATATTCTCAATAGACCAATTCCTGGCGAAAGACCGAAAAGATAACTTAACAGACGAGCAACCAAGCCCTCGAATGATCTCAGTTGGATCGTGTTTAACCCGTCAGACCATTGACGAACAAATCAAGGAAACTCGAGCTCAATTTCTTACCAANCGAGCTCAATTTCTTACCAAAATAAATGTTTCAGGGCAGAAATTTCAAGTGGGCAAGTATAGCAAACCCCGAAATTGATTTGTAATTCATATAGCAGCAGTCCTGCGACTTTCTGTGTGAAATTGATGTTAGGAATCTGAGAAATCGACTTGGCACTTACCAGCCTTAGCATGCAAAATGAGGTCATCGTTGCGATTCTTTCCAAGTTTTCGACTAACCAGCAAGACCTTCTCACTGTTTTTGCCTTCGTTGTAACTGTTCACACCTGAAACAATCAGTTGCCGATCAATTCATGCCGATCAGGTCACTAGAATTATGAACAGCCAAAATGACGCTTAACCATCACGAGTACTTCTCAACAACGCCCACAAATAACCAAATTCAGTGGTATTGTGTGATCAAAACCGAATTCCGCACGAGCAACTGTTAAAACACAAGAAAACGTCACATACTAATGAAAGTGCATCATTCAGCGATATGAACATGCGTAGTCACTCTTAAGGAAGTCGATGCAAAAATGCTGAGGTGTCCTAATATTTCAAAAAATCGGTTATTATCAAGTATCAAAATCAGTCGCTGAACGATTGGTTCGGCTGACGGATGGAAGGAACTGACAAGAGAACATTGCGATGGAAACAATAAATGAGCATTGGATCAACGATGAATGGCAAAGCGATTGCGGAAGTTTTCGTTATCAAGTGAAATTCGACCATTTTCATTTCAATACAATAACGGACATTCACTGAAGGACATTTTAACCTTCCACCGAAAAAAAGCTACTGATGCGAGAAAGAAATCAGTCAAAATCAATGAATGTCATTGCTCCGTGGAACTTTTGATTTTGTTGAACGACATTAATTTTGCTGCAGTATTTGACGT